TATTAGTCCTTGGTCAGATGTGTAATCAGGTATGGGTTTTGACTAACTAGAAGTATTATTAGTCCTTGGTCAGATGTGTAATCAGGTATGGGTTTTGACTAACTAGAAGTATTATTAGTCCTTGATCAGATGTGTAATTAGGTATGGGTTTTGACTAACTAGAAGTATTATTAGTCCTTGGTCAGATGTGTAATCAGGTATGGGTTTTGATTAACTGGAAGTATTATTAGCTCTTGTATACCATCACATTCACATGCACATTCAGTTATACAGTATCTCATTTAACAAGTTGGAGGTGTTTGTGTATGGCAATATACAAGAGATCATTTAATAAGTTATGAGTATATATATATTTCTTGTATACACTTACATCATTTCTAGAAACAATGCATACATAGACACTACTACTTCCTTTCAAATTTTCATTAATCAAATCGTATCAAATTGAACATACAAGTTCGCTCTTCCGTTCCCCACTTTTAATACTATTATATTCAGTTCTCTAAGTAAATATCCACGTGCTTCACATTCGTCTTTACAGTTAAAAAAAAAGAGAAGGATAAAGCACCAGTTGGACAGTCTTAAATTATCTTTCTAGAAATAATATATTTATATAAATCGATGGGTGTATTAACAAATTTTATACTATGGTAATGACTGTGATTACTTTGGTTGGTTTCATAAAACTGCCTTAGAAACAAACTCTTAAAACTCACTAGCTAGCATATATATATACATATGTAAGTTCGACAAGTATATACAGGACGAGGAGTACGTTAGCTGTTTAACTTTCTCATCACATCCATTCAAACAGGTTCTATCGATTCGTTTAGTGTGTTTTACTCTAGGGACCCTGCTTAAACTGATAAATAAATGCAAAAATGGCTTGTGTTACTACGCAAAGGCAAAAAGGAGTCCACGCACAAGTTCTATTGTCAGTAAAATATTCCTACAGCGCGTGGGTGGCCGTGTGTATGTATAGAGAATAATCAACATGAAGTACCCAGAAGAAATTATCCAACAATTAGTAATTAAAATAAATAAAACCAGTTGTGCGTTTTATCAATTATCAAAAATAAATCACCGCTAACCTCTTTTTGGAAAGCACCTCGAGTTTTAAAGGCTATTGCAGTTTTAAAATATAAAGTTTAATTATAAGTTTTCTCTGTTTTCTTACAAAATCAAATCACTTTGATATTATGTTATGATAAAAATATCCGCTGTTGTGTTCTCTTTTGTGCTCATATCTTTAGGAATAGAGAAAAGTCGTTTAGTCAACACCACCTACCGCCAACTCTTGGGATACTCTTTTACAAACAAAAAGCGGGATTGACCGTTACATTACTACGCTCCCACGACTGATAGGACGAGAAAGTTTGGTGACGGGATTCGAATTTGGGATCCGCTTATTACGAGTCGAGCGCCATAACCACCATGTCATGCTAGGCCTGAGAAAAGATTTTCAGCTGCATAGCACACGTGGATATATGTGTCAGTTGCTATTAACAATATACTAGTTTATTTATAAAAGAAAGTGCTATAATTGCCGAGTTAAAGGGGTGGAAGGTTTTATCATACGTGAGACTTTCTGCTCTTCCAACTGAGCTAACTCCCCTATCTGCAGCTAGTATAACAACATCCTTTTCTTTGAACAAATCAAATCAAATTAATTAATAAATAAATCCATTTGCTTGACTTATCATATTTTACCTTAAAATCCTTAGCCAGTCAACAGTAACAAAACCACGTAGAAGAAGCTAGAGTTTTTCTAACAAGGCATTCTATAGAACTGTATACGTACATTACCCACATTTATCAGTATTGCAAAGTTTTACTGAACACCTCTACGATAAAAGTAATTAACTTTTTTGTCATATGTTTAAAAAAAACAACAACGTTTCATTCCAAATCAATGGCGTCTTTTATAAGAGGAACTTTTGAACATTTATTGAAATTTTAATACCTGGCCAACTATGTACCACAAAAACTGCTGTATGATTTAAACGTTTGATAGGAGATGCCCTAAATAAAATATTGACATGTCTGCGTGAATCATTATGAGTCAAATTTTGTTCATTTCACGTTGTTCGCTTTACAACATGTATATAGAGTTGAGTACGTTATATTAAAACAATTCTGAACCTGAAAGTCAGCAAGCCACGTGACAACCACAGCCAATATAAAGTCGCGGTGGAAAGGAGGGTATCAGAACTAAATTTTAACATTGTTTGGCGTTTCATAGGTAGTGTGATGCCACCGAAATATCGATCGCTTTTGGGGGAGGGCATGCAACAGTCCTTTCCGATGCAAAATATTCATACACTCAGATCATAAATATGTGTTTACTTCGCAGATTTAGAATTCCCAAAACGGGAATATCCTTTGTATTTAATGTTAATGTTTTCTCAGCAAAGAGTTGCGCATTGAGATATCTACGCTCAGTCCATCCGAGGAACTGAACCCCAGATTTTAGCATTTTAATTCAGTAAACGTAGCGCTGACAAACTGGGGGTGGAGATTAATGGCGTTGGAAAACAAAATAATGTGGATCAACTTGAAACACCAGAACCATGAAGAAAGAGACCTGCAATAAGTCGTATACCAGCCGTGGTAAGCAAAGAGCGGCGTCTTGTAACAGGTGAGAATCCAGGAACACAAAGGTAAGTGACAAAAAGCCGTTCACGTGTAGGCAACAGTACGCGACATAATCAACGATGATCTTTTTAAACAGCGACACACAAGTTCTTCAACGACATATGCGTTTAACCGTCGCATACCTCAAGCAGCTGGAGAATGAAACGGATATATTTACGAATACATGAGGTTGTGCTGTTGGAACGGGCATTAATAAACTGTCGTCCTTGTACACTATAAGGATTAGGTAAAATATGAAGGTAGGAGCAGTGTGCTTTGGACATGACAGCATTACAACGGTGCCTTTGTTGAGTTATTATTGTCAAGATACATGCTCTCTGGATAGAGCACAACTGGACGTGGCGATATGGACTGTAACGAACGAGCTTCAGAATAGTTTTGATATAACGTACTCAACATCTGAATATTAAGAGTTTATTTATCATCATGACACATCCGGACTCCCTCATCCAGTTTGAAACCACTTACAGTTAATCTGGGCTGTGCATAATGAGATTCAGTGTAATGTAATCTATTTTACAAAATATATCTGGTAAAAATATTATTTTTTATTTTTTTGTCTGGCTCTAGAGAAACAGGAAAGAAAAACACAGTTTAGTGGAACTGTCAGTAACACATTATAATTAACTTCCTTGCTTTCCATTTAGAGGTCACTTAAGAGCTAATGATGCACTAAAATGAAAACACCTTTTTTTTTAGGGCGACAGTTATCGGAAGTTACAATTTAAAATGTAGTAAAACCATAAACCGACTTTCGTTACACGTTGTCACACATCATATTTTTTTTTCTAATTTATTTTTTAAATATTTTTGCTCATTAGGGCAAGATATTAAGGTAGGTCGTACATATAATTAATAAGAGTATTTAATGTACTATACTGTACTCCAAAGCTTAATTTACTACTCATTGATGGAGTTAGCGCTACAGCAGATATTAACCTATAAAGCTTCGGATAAATATACTTCTCAAGAAAAACAGCACGATTTACTAATGTTGAAGTTTTAAATTCGCTCCTATTTCTTGTGATATTCTTGACTTGGAAAATATCAAGATAATATATGAACTTTTGTTATGAATATATTTCGACATGAAGTGGGTATCTTTCTTCCTCCAAAAATAAAACGCATTTTGTCTAATTTCTCTAAAGGTTTGCTTGTTTTGAATTTCGCGCAAAGCTACACGAGGGTTATCTGCGCTAGTCATCCCTAATTTAGCAGTGTAAGACTAGAGGGAAGGCAGCTAGTCATCACCACCCA